AGAGAGAGAGAGAGAGAGAGAGAGAGAGAGAGAGAGAGAGAGAGAGAGAGAGAGAGAGAGAGAGAGAGATGTGAATGGAGGCTTTGGAAGCATTGACGAATCCCGGGAGGAATTCAAAGAAGAGGGAGGAGTAGGGAGAAATGGATATTGAAGAGGAAGAGGAGGTAAGAGTGTTAGCGATCACAAAGAGAGACAGAGACAAACGGATTCTAAAAAGGAGAAAGCGAACACAGAGAGAGACGGAGACCGACAGACACACCGGCCCGGAGAGACATACACAAAGGCAGACATGTTAATCATGGAGGCTGTGGAATCGCGATACGCATCGGAATATAAGGGAACAGTAAGGAGATGTGGGCTGTGAAGAGGAAGAGGAGGTACTTAGAGCGAATGCGAATGCGAAGCCACTCACCCAAGCACAGCCACCCACGCGCGGGTTTGCTAGCGGACACGTCGATGAGCCCCGGCAGGGCAGGACGATGCAACGCTGAATTCCCGTCTACTAGGTGGTGTCCACATCAAACAGCTTGACCGCCGAGTTCCCCCCCCTCGGCCCCCCCCTCCCTCCCTCTTTCGCGTCGTTCTCGCCTGTATTTCGCCGGCCGGCCTTTCTTGTACGCAACGCTGAATTACCTTCTACTGTAGGTGGTATCCACGTCAAACAGCTTGCCTGCCAATGTTTCCCCCCCCCTTCGCATCTTTCTCTCCTCTATTCGCCGACCTTTGCCCTGTCATGACGCACAACGTACTGTGGGGCCCCTCTGCACGACACCTGTGCGGCATAGACCGCAACCGACGGAATGAAAAAAAACCCACACACACGCAAACGACACCGCATATAGCAACGCTACCGTCTTCCCCTGAACACAACGCACCCTCATTTTGGCGGTATCTGGCCGGAAATATAACTCGTATACTGATACCACGCTCGGGCGTGGGGCCGCAGCCAGGACGGCGGCGGACAAGTGACCAGCCCACGAGAGCTTGGCTGCACTTTTGTTGTCGACCTGTGAAAAACAAACCTCCCAAACGCCACGATAACTGCCAGGTACATTCAATGAGGTGCTAGTGTGACTGTGCCCTCAGTGAGGGCGTGTAGGGACAATCACACGGGGAAAAAGAAAGGTTTTGGCGGTATCTGGCCGGAAATATTACTCGTATACATTCATGTTTAGGGTGCGTTATGCTCGGGGGAAGAAGGTAGCACTCCAGCACTTTCCTCTGAACGTGTATCACTGCCAATACGACCGCAAGCGGACGCATCCGGGCGCAGAGCTCACTCGTGCGTACCCTATGAATGTGACATGACGCTCACTCGTGCGTACCCCTAGAAGACTAACCACAGAAGACTAATCACTTTCCTGCGGTGAAGGCCGAACGGGGAATGTGACATGAAGCTCACTCGTGCGTACCCCTAGAAGACTAACCACAGCACAGCACAGCACAGCACAGCACAGCACAAAGGGAGCATGGCATGCCCATTTGTTTGAGTTCGAACGCCGAGGGTATCCTTAGGAGGTAGAAGGAGGTTGATACGCACAAAGCCGTGACATGACGGTCTTCCCTGCGGTGAAGGCCGAACGGGGAAAATAGATTGGTCCGTGCGGAGTCCTTTTTAATTTTTGGACCTTTTTTCGCAGGGACCGTTCTTTCTGAAAATCAATCCTCTCTGTATCGTTCCAATTTTAAACCGCGACGTTGAATTTCGTATGGTTAAATTTCGTACGGTTGACCTCGACGTTGAATTTCGTACGGTTGTCCAGAAAAGAGACGTCCCGAGATTGAATTGTTTGAAATTCTTTTTTTTTTTTTTTTTTTTTGTTTAAAGGGCGACCGTCTTGAGATATCATCATCGAGCTGACCGGCCCCAGGCAATTCAGAATATTTGGTTTTTACTCATCAAGTTCCATCATCTGGGTTCGAACACGGGTCTGTATTTCAACAGTTCAATGGTGTACCCACTGAGCTACGCTCTTGGGTAATTGTTTGAAATTCGTTCGGGGGCACCCAAAAGCCTAGCTCAGTGGGTACACCCATGAACTTTTGAAATACAGACCTGTGTTCGAATCCAGATGATGGAACTTGACGAGTAAAACCAACTACTAATGAATTGCTTCGGACCAGTCAGCTCAATGATAATATCTCAAGGCCGTCGCCCTTTTAATAAAAAATATATATGTATATCGTACGGGGGTCTCAATACAAGTGCTGAGGGTTTGCTGATGGGGGCCCGAAAACTTATGGTTGTTCCTCTCGCCCAAAGCACCTGCGTTGTGCTGAAGCCCAGGTCTTGAATGGCCGTAGCCAAGTTGGTCGGGCGCCTATGTTCTACGGGTTCCTATGTTGCAAGACACAGGCAGTGGAGCACAGAGGCGATCCTGGGGGACGGTTCGGCGCGCGACTTCTGCGGCGCTAATTTCACGTCTGCGCTGTTCACACAGCTTGAACCCTAAGTGAAAATTTCACCATAGCTATCCCGCCTTCACCATTGAGAGTGAGGGTGATGAGAGGGCAGCTGATGATTCCTCGTGAGTCTTCCTCACTTACCACGGGGAAGCTGTCCTTCTCGGGAGACCACCTCCCCCTGGACGGAGCCCGTCATTACCAGAATTTACCAGAATTACCAGTGTAACGCTCACGTTGAGTGTTCCACTACAGGGATTTACCTATCAGGGAACAGGACTCCTCTGCTGCGGATTTTCGCCGCTTTTACGGATGACGTTCCTCCTCCAGCATCTGGACTTCTGGTGAGACATCATCATTGCGGTCCTCTTCCTGTTGCGGTTCACTCTGAATTTCTACTTCGAGTGTCCTCCCCTGTGACGAACTGATTTTTGTTCCACACGATATTCTGCGTGAGGACAATGAGGGGTCCTAAGATGGGAAAGATGGGCCAATTACGGGAGATCGGGATCGAAGGGAAATTGCATCGGTGTCCTCGCTTCTTCGAGTTTTCGCATCGCTTATTTTCGGATGGCTGGGTTCAGAGTCGGGCGAGTCCCAGGATGGTCGATTGAGTGGTTGACGCGCCGACAAAGGCGCGATTAATCATGTTCGACGTCACTTCTTTCTTGTTCTGTTGTCGGGTTTTTGGCGCAGAGATCGCGCGGAAAGTTTTGCTTCGTTCTTTTTTATTTATTTTTTTTAATTCCTTTTCGGATCTTGTCGAGCCTTGACGGCTCTCGGAATATCGGACTTTCTTTTCGGAATTTCCGCTTTATTGAAGTTCTTTTTGCATTAGTTAGGAATTTAGGAATTTCATAATTTGGGATTTCTTTTGCTGCGCGGTGCTTTTTGCTCACGCGCTCCTTCGTAGTCTCCTTTCCTCGGCAGGAGCTAACTCCTGAAAAGTGATTGGTTGACTAAGAGCGGTTCTCCGTGTGATCCTAAGGGATTGCACTAGCTTTCCTTTCTCCTCACTGTTGTCTTCACTCTTGAGCTACAGTGTGTGATCTAAACTAGAATCCACACTGAATCCTACCTTAGCATGACACACAACCGCATATGATAGACTATTATTTTCAGTCGGCCTGAACAAAACAATTAGAAGGTGTGGTTACAACTAATGTCACGTACTACAGGAAACATCAGATCTATTTTTAGATTACCCTAGAACAGATTGCAATACAGCAAAGATCTAATCTGTCTGCAGCTGTCTGTCAGTTGTTAGTCAAGTCTGTAACAACTAGATAATCAAAATAAAAGTAATATCTCATGTTGGAGATGTATGCTTGATGACAGATTGTATGTTGATTGCCACAGCGGACAGTTACCGGAATCCCCCCTCCCCCTGTGTCCTTCTTGATTGGTCGCTTTGTGTCAACATCCTGAGCATCTGGTTGAGCAAAGTGTGTAAAGGTGTGCAATCCGGCCCACCCCTGTGCCCCAAGTCATTGTTGAACTTGTCAGCCCCTGCACATTATTTACCCTCGCATGCAACGAGCCTTACACCTGATTTGATCTGGCTGATCAGGAGGCATTTAAGGAGATCCCCCATAACTCCTCAGGAATTATTTAACGTCGCAGACAAGACGACGATCACAGCCAGAGTCAACACCGAGTCCCCGCCAAAAATATTTAAAGACGGTCTGGTAAGCGTCTGTCCCAAAGGGCTCGCATGCCCTTCATAACCTCTATTGCGCAAGCAGCGGAACCAAGGACTTGCTGCCAAGCATGCGTGTACTAATCCCGGCGGGTTGGCATGATGACCATGACTCGAGTGCTTCGTCCAGGGCCCTTCAGAGGCTTCGCTCGTCTCCCACCAGCTTGCTGCCCAGGAAGAATGTCGACTCTCGAGGTTGAGCGCTCGCGACACCTCACATCGAGAGGACTCTCAAAACAGAACTCACTTCCTCACGGTAAGAAGCAATGAAGAGGGTAGATAAGGAAAAGAGCAACGTACCTCATAATGCTGCCCCCAACCACAAATTTCTCATCGGCAACCTGATGTGCATTTATGATGACCGGTCTTTGCCTTGGCACAACCAACAGCAGAATGCAGTTCCACCTCGGCTTAATATGTCACATCAGCGAGCTTTCACCATCCAACATACACCCCGTATATCACCACATAGCTCCCTGGCGCGCCCACATTACCCTGGGCCGCCTAATGTTCAATGCCAATGCCTTATCACTGCCCCACACCTCATGCGAAGCACCAATAGCTATTGTGAAGAACCAATGAAGCGCAATATGAACCAGCTCCGATACCAAATTGCAAGGAAAATAAGCAACAGCGAGATGATAATTCCATATCACACCATCACATTAAAAGCCAAATAGTCACACTGTGTCCAGAGAGCAGCAATGCACCAATAATACACCAATGAAGGTTCGTAGTATTGAAAACCAATGTCATGGAGAGCTTTCTCTCTCCTTCAACAACACAAGAGTCCAGTCCCTTCACATTCCTACTATGCGCTCAGCGCCCAGCCTACTCCTACACAGCTACGATCAGCCTAATAATAGACAGTGCAACTGTTGACATCAGCGGCAACCCAAAGTACTTGAAGATGTCGCCCATATGCAGACCATCGCCAATACAAGGTAAGTGCCCTCGCATCATCATCATCATCATCCTTCGCCCTTCCCTGACTTACTCCCACGCCTGTCCTCTCTTACACCCGAAGACCACCCCTGCGCCTCACTGTACATCCAAGCCGAACCCGCTATGGAGGCTGGCCATGGTGCTGCCCTCAGCAGCGCCCTACCTCACCACACGATCGCACGTGCGCAGCCTCTTGCTCTCAATGCCAGTAGTCAGCCCGCGAGCTTTTGCTCCAGCAGCGCTGCCGCCAGCCAGCGAGTGACCGAATGAGGTTCCCAGAGGAGAGCTCTTCCCTATATGGAAAGAGTCGGCCAGCTCGCGCAACCTAGTTGGACTGGCCTATGCCCGGACGCTTTCGGAAGGCCCCAGGAGGCTGCCTGTGTACGGCAACTACTGGGTTGCTGGGCCTCGTTCGGTTGGGCGCCCTACTGTCTCTG